TGTGTGTGTGTTATGGGGGCTCTCGTGGCCTAGAGGTTAAGGTGTCGGCTCTCATTCAAAGGACCCGGGTTCTAATCCAGGTAGAGACCGAAACATTTTCTTCTCTAAAATTGCCTCCTTTCACATCCTTTCATGCTCTCTAGCAAAGTTCTGTCGTCTGCATTCGTCTCCACTTTCTGCCCCCTCTCCCTCACCTCCTTTGCCACATTCTCTGGGCTTCTAACTCTTTCTGTAGCCTTTCTACGGCTACTCCTTGGCTCCTTCTTACTACTGTCTTTCAGCGACACCCCTGATCTTCTGGTAGGAAAGATCTACACCTAGCCTTTTCGGGCAAGGGCGAAAAATCTCGGAGGGCCCGTGTGCAAGTTGGGCACGTTAAAGATCCCTTGGTGGTCTAAAATCGATAAGAGTAGGCTTGGGCCGCCACCCGGCAATTTTTTTAAAATATATTTCCTACGAATTGAAAATATTATGTGTGTCCAGCGCGCTCATATGAACTTATGCAGTTGTGAGCGCCGTAAAACACTTTTTTTTTAAAATTAATAAATGTGCTATGTTAGAGTTAGAGCGTGTCTCCACCAAAACCGAATACTGACACTGGCAGGCCCCTTGTGAGTGGCTCCATAATAAATATGCTAATATCCTGTACTTTTCCATTTTCTTTAAATACACACGTTTAGGGTTAAAATAGCCAATCTTCAGATAGGTGGACACACGCCCTTATTATTTGTTCATGTTTGTGGTTGTTAATGTGCTGTTCTAATTTTGATTTCATTCTGTTGTGAAACGTTTCTTTTTCACGTTTTACACTGTGCGTGGCTACAAATGATATTTTGGATGCTTAAAACAGAGCACAAGAAATTCCGGTACTTAACATTCAGTTACCTCTATCAACATATTGTCATATATACGTCTTCAGATAGAGTTGAAAGCTTGAAAATTAAAGGCAACTTTTGGACAAAAAAATGGAAACAAACGCTGATGCTAGCCTTGTGATAAGTCTGCAAGTAGCCCACTCGAGAATTGTTCATTCACTCTACTTGTCAAAATGTTCATAACAAAATATTTTCCCACTGTACATGTAGTAATCTATACTTATCTTTTCTTTACTGGTTTGTTTAGCATTCACATAGCAAACAGTGCACTTGGCAAACAAATTTTCCGGTCTCGAATTGAAAATGCACAGATAATATACCGTAAGCAGTTTGTACTTTTAAATAGCGTCTGCGGAAGGTAGATATAATTTTTTAAACATCACCATAAATTTGGTTTACCGAAGTAATCATTGAGACGGCAAAGTAGTGTGTGTGAAGGCCAATGACCTCTCTATAAGTTATAGTTATACTAAGCCAGGGGTAACAGTCTAGGCCAATGACATATATATATATGCATTATATCACAGAAGTATTCAGAGGTAGATATCTTAGCTAGAGCTGGGCGAGGAATCAATTCCGGAACCGATTCCTACGATTAATGCTGCGGAAGAGAAGTTCCGACTCCTTTTTACATATAACCAACGGTTACCAGTTACTGTAATTATTAAAATTTTCTTCTTTTTTTAAAGAATTTATTTATGAAAAAAAAAAGTTGATGCTTCGTAGTGTTCCGAAATCAACGTTATCATAAATCCTGAAGATGTTCGGAGCCAATCAGGTAACCACCGGGAGAAATCACATCGTTAGAAAGTAAGTAACTGGGTTCGGAGTCGATTCCAACGATTCCTAACTTTCACTAATCGGGAACCTAGCCGCCCAGCCCTAATCTTAGCTAGATCTAGACAGCCCGCTACTTCTGCTGCGCGCAGCGAGTCTACGGTCACGTGAAGGCGCGTACCAGGTATTGCTGACTGTCCCTGTCGTTTTGTGCAAGAAAAATTCTGAAATTATGCAAACTGAGCCGAAAAATATGAAATTATGCCATTCTGTTAATTTTAACAAAGAATGATGAAGGAACATAATCAGAAATTATGCAAAAACTGATCTAATTTTGCGAAATTATTCGGGGTGCATAAAACCAGGAGGACAGGTATTGTCACCATGTATGTCAGCACACTTCCTCTCCAACAGAGAAACAGAGATTACACATTTCGCTGTCCCCGTCGGAATATGCGATTGTGCGGCCGCGTTTTTAAGCGTAATTCTACAACATTTGCATAATTTTGGATTCCCCGCGTTTTTTAAACATTTTCTGTTTTCATTTTTTCACAATACAAAATTATTTAACGTCACTCCATGTGATTAAAGGGAGGTGTTTTCTTTCCAAAAACACAAAAAATAACTGGTGATACTGATAAGTTCTGTGTTCAATTTTTCTGCACATAAAACGTGAAAATTCTTGTTGAAAAGGTGCAAAACATGTTGAGAATGGCGTTACGGTAACTAGCATAATTTTGCATTTGTCTTGATTAAATTTGGCTATCTAAATTAGCATAATTCGTCGCCTGAATCACGTAGCCTACTATCGTAACCGACAAAAATGGGGTTTCGAGCAACGGCGGTTTTAAGCAATTTTCCACATCCTGTTTTTAATTAACGGAACATAATATGTTTTTGGTTTTTTGGGTTGTATAGTATTTGGACTTTATGCCATATTTTCTGTCACTGCTTCAGAAAATCAATTTAATAGCTTTTTTTGCGAAAAAATGACCATTTTTGTCACTTACGTTAGTATGTGAATGCAAAGTATGTAGCGGTACAGTCCCTCACGCTACACAATATGACACTTTCGAGTTCTTAAAAAACAAAACAAACTATAAAGTTACAGTTACGTTATTTTATTTTGAAAGAAAAAAGCTTGGTGAGGCCTTTTATCAGTATTTACTAGGTGCGTGAGATTCACAAATGGATGAATCAGTAATATGAACAGCCTTGCAACTTTGAAAATAGGTGGAATTGGCCAAACACCGCCATAGACCGGGAGTAAGTTTAATATAATTTATGCGCGTCACTTTGCAATTTTGCGAGAGAGGGAGAAAGAAAGAGAGAGAGGGGGGGGGGGGGGCACAGACAGAGGGAAAGGGAAAGAGAGAGGGGGGGGGAATGGAGAGATAGACGGGGGAGAGGAGGCGGAGACAGAGGGAAAGGGAGAGAGAGAGAGAGAGAGAGAGAGAGAGAGAGAGAGAGAGAGAGAGAGAGAGAGAGAGAGAGAGAGAGAGAGAGAGAGAGAAAGAAAGAGAGAGAGAGGTGGGGGAGAGGAGATGTGAGGGAGAGACGGGGGAGACAGAGGCTGAGGGAAAGGGAAAAAGAGAGAGAAGAGAGAGAGTTTTCGTATGCAGTTACGTTATTTTATTTTGAAAGAAAAAAAGCATGGAGGGGCATTTTACCAGTATTTACTAGTGCCCGACTTTCACAAATGGATTAATCAATACATTGAAAAGAGGTTAAATCTGTCAATCTGAAAAACAAAAACATAGACTGGGAGCAAGTTTATGATTTTGTAAGTTTACGAAAGAGAGAGAGAGAGAGAGAGAAAGAGAGAGAGAGAGAGAGAGAGAGAGAGAGACAGAGAGAGAGAGAGAAAGAGAGAGGGGGAGAGATGGGTGCGGCACAGGCGGAGACAGAGGGAGGGAGAGAGAGAGAGAGAGAGAGAGAGAGAGTTATTTAAAGTTTTAGTAAGGTTTTTACGGCGCTCGCAACTGCATAAGGTCATATGAGCACCAAGGGCATGGATGTCAACAGAGAAGTCCAAATGGGGAATCAGGCTTACTCTGCTCACCTCTCTAGCCTCAACAGCACAAAGTCTGCTTCGACAACCAAGGCACCCCGGAAATAGCGGGTCACAAGAGTGTGACAAACATACAAAAGAAGTAGGGGGAAAAATGATGAGGAAAGAAAAAGCAGCAGTTCCCATATTATGTTGTTTCGGCACAGTATGAGCATGACATTGATAAGTCAGCCCATTTACAATTCTATTGTGCGTAAGAACATGTTAATATCCCCCCTTTGGGAATGGCCTAAAGACACTTCAGTCAGTGGTATTGCTCTGGAGAGAGAGAGAGAGAGAGAGAGAGAGAGAGAGAGAGAGAGAGAGAGAGAGAAAGAAAGAAAGTTTACATGTAATGGTCATGAACATTTTTAATTCAACGCAGCAATCACGTAAATTAATAGTGAGATTCTTGTTAGTAATGTTAGTCTCAATTTCGGGTGATGTGTCGCTTACGATAGTACGCGATTCGGGTGACGAATTCTGCGGGGACAGATTTTGCAACAGCTTGCCCGCCCCGCATTCTACAAAGTTAGGTAAAGGTGAAGTTGTAATAATAATAATAAATAGCATTTGTATAGCGTTTAAGCCTGCTCTACAGCAAGCTCTGTGCGCTTTATACAATATTATTACCCCAGCAGCCCATAGAACACTCAGAAACATTCTCAGCTTCCCGGGAAGCATACAGTGCATGCAGCTGATTAAGTGCTTAAACTCTACCAAACTGACAAGATCTTTCACTGTCTATAGCTGGGAACTCATTCTCACCTGGGTGAAGTGAGGGAAATTTGTCTAAAGTGCCTTTCCCAAGGATACAATGTCGGGTCCTTGACGGGATTCGAACCCACGACCTTATGGCTGCGAGTCTGAGAGCCTAACCACTAGGCCACGCAACACGCAAAAGAAGCAGAAAGGCTTCCTGGTTGAGGGAAAAATAGCCGACCTGGCAGAGATGGAGAGAAAATCAATGTCTAAACCCAAAATATGCAAATCCAAATTATGTATTCTTCTGAATGCTCTCAGACTCTCAGTGGGATGAAAATTTTTTCTCATTCAAATTTCTGGACAAAGAGAGGAAACTACGCAGTTGAGTGTGTTTGTCAGGCAATCAAACCATGCTTTTATTATTTGTAGTTCGCACACAAAAGTAGCAGTATCACTGCAGATAGAAACATCCACACACTCGCACTTCTCCGTCACACATCCCCGCAAGAGCCAAAGGTCCCTTGCGTTAAGGTCACTTCAGTCGCATACTGCGCACAATCCCTGAGCGTATCCCAGATGCCTCTCCCCTGTACTTCACCAGCTCCGGCTTGTAGTCACGAATCTGCCGAGGAAAGAGAAAATGAGCCCAATGACCTGCATTCAGTAGAGGAAACTTTCTCTGAGTCCTAACACAGTGGAAACCTTATATAAAAGGGATGGTGGGACCAGAGAAAAAGTACAGTTTGAGTTAAATCAGAAATGCAAGGGAAGTAAGCATTTGTGGACTAATCCAGCTGTATTTATCCATGGGTAGTTTCCCTTGCCACACGTTCACACACGGACAGGTGTTTTGGCCATGTGGCAGGCCTGCACATGACACATTACGCGTGCGTGTAGCTAGGCTAAGGGCTAGATCGAAGTCTGCAGCACACTACAGCCCTCTCTCGTTGCTTCACCCGCTGCGTGTGCTGGCAGTGGCGTGGCTTGCGTGGGCTTGTTCCATCACTGCGTTACTCTCTCTCTCTCTTACTTTTTCCTCATAACGAGCGTTTGTCCCTGCTATAACCGGTTGGGCTCCGATGACGCCCTGTTATTGCAGATACTTTTTAATAGAGACCAAGAGTAGGAATAAACGGGGATTTTTAAAAATCCGTTATTACCGCAACCCTGTTATTACCGGGCCTGTTTTATGGTTTCCACTGTAAATGTGTCACAATGCGGAGGAATCAGGCACAGGACATGTCAATGTTTGGGTACGTGGAACAGCTATTGGTACAGCCTGAAAGCTTATTCATTTGCTCTGCTTCTATCTTAAATACAAGTCCAGATATGTGCCACGACATGGTGGAATCAAGCGCTTGTCAATTTTGGGGCATGTTATTGATATCATCCTAAAACCTGTTCATTTTTTGCTTTCCTTTTGGTGGAAAAAATATCCATCTATCAGGAATCAAAATATTTGCGATTAAAGGAGGTCAGGGTCACCTGATTTCAAAAATAAAATTAGCTAGAAAATGGCCGCCAAAGTTTGGTAACTTCCGTAGCCTGAGAGTCCTTGCAAATTTACAATTTTTGTGCCTTTAATCAATGTTTTTCAGTCGAAACCACACAAAGATTTGTTTTTAAATGGACATAAAATGTGTTGAGCCAAAAAAAGAAAATTAGAAAAAAATTGCCCATCGGCCAAAAATAAGCCGATTTCTTTGATTTAGTCAATTTGACGAGGGCCTGATTTCACCACGATGCTTCATACATTTGCATTTGAAGGAGGTGGGGGTCGCCTGGTTTCAGAAACAAAATTAATGAGAAAATGGTCACTAAAAGTTGATAAGCTCACTACTTTGAGAGTCCTTGAAAACTGAAAATTGACACATTTTGTGCCATTAATCAACGTTTTCAGTAAAATTCACATGGAAATGTGTTTTTATATAGACAAAAGATGTTGGGCACAAAAACAAAAATTACATGAAGATTGCCAAACTGGTGGAAAAACGCCTGTTTCTTCCATTTCATTATTTTGACAAGCGCCTCATTTCACCAGGATGCCTCACAAATGTCTTTAGATTCTACACCGGAATATTTTGCTGCTGACGTCTGAACTGCACAACAGTTGATGTCATCTTGAAGTTGAAGTGGGGTTACACTATAACGATGAACTGTACAAAACTCGGACAATCTATTAATAAATCATTACCTGTAACTGCAAAATTGTACAGAAATTGGATGGTTAGACGATAGAGTGGAGACCCAATAAAAAATAAAGCATCATTATGTGATCCAAGTCAGAAAACTTGGATGGGGGGGACACAAAATTCTCTTGAAGTTTGCTGCCACGTGGGATTTAAGTGCAAAATTTTTAGAATAATCATCGCAGCTAAGAACTGATTTCATTTTCGCAAACAGCGTATCAAAATCAAGCAAAGTAGCTCACCAGAAATATATTGTGATACTGAAACGCGAGCAAACTTTGTTTTTCAGTCACTGTAGAGTGCACAGTGCGGCGACTTGACCATAAGACACTGTTCTTCTCTTTAGATTCCAATGATTAATTACTGAGAAGGCTTACAAAGAACTTGTATTAAAGTCTTCATGATTATAAAAAATAACCTAAAAAATCTCAGAGCAACAGTTGAGTGAATATATTTCTCTTTAAAAGTCAGTCTTCTGTGCAGTTAAGCCTTTACTTTTTCTTTTGTTAAGCAACAGCATGTCCCATAGAGTGCAAGCGAATGGTTGTCGCTGAGAGGAATCTCCTCAACCGAAAGAGAAGAGAACAATAAATCGGAAAATGTGTAAACAGAAGATGCAGTTAGACAAACGAACAGTTCTTGTATACAGTGGAAACCTGATATAACAGGGACGGTGGGAGTAGAGAAAATGCCCTGTTATATCCGATCCCTGTTAAATCAGAAATGCAAGGAAAGTAAGCATTTGTGGACTAATCCTGCTGTACTTATTCATTGGTAGTTTCCTTTGCCACAAGTACCCACGAACAGGGATTTTGGCACCAACTTTGTCCTTGCCTCCTTAAAACCACACCAGAAGAGCTTGGTCCACAGCATCTGCATCGGGTAGTCTCATCTTCTTTCGATCCAGAGCAAATTTTCCATATAGAGTATGCTGCCACTATCTTCTCTCTATCCTTGATAATGGTGTGAATCGACCCTTGTGGAATGTCGAACTTACGACAAATCTCTGCCAGTGGAGCTTGCTTTTTGTCAACAGCCTATATTATTTCGGGGGGGTTTTTTTGTCAATTGAAAAACATTTTCTCTTGCGCTTGACTTCGTAGGTGACAGTAGACACATTACGCGTGCGTGTTGCTAGGTTTCGGGCTACATTGAGGTCTGCAGCACACCGCAGCCCTCTCTCGTTTCACACGTTACCTGTGCTTGCAGTGGCATGGCTTGCATGGGCATGCTCCATCACTGCGTTACTCTCTCTCTCTCTCTTACTCTTTACCCATTGTTAACGAGCCTTTGTCCCTGCAATAACCGGTTGGGCTTCGATGGGGCCCTGTTATAGCCGATAACTTTTAATACAGACAAAGAGTAGGAAAAATCGGGGATTTAAAAAATCCCTGTTATTACCGGATCCCTCTTATTACCGGGCCTGTTATAACACGGTTTCCACTGTATTATGATGAATCTGATACGATTTATTTCTCTGCGTGTAACCAAGGCTTCAGACTGCAACTAAGAGTCAAGGGCTCCATGATTCTGGATGAAATCTGCTAAGAGGGGGCAGGGGCTAGAAAGACCTGTCTTCTGTGAAATACTGTTCAAAGCAGAGACGCCTTATACCGATCTCAAATGGTTTTTGTTTTGAGTAAAGAGAAGCACATCAACGCAATAAAGGTCATTTATAGAGTTGGGAAAAAGTAAGATAGACGGACAGAAACAACAGAGAGAAAAGAAAGAAGTTGGACCTACCAGTGGTATCAAATGGCGTTTGTACTCAGTTACAGACAGTAGTGCGTACATGCATCTATTTATATACAAATTTTTTTTTTACTCTAGAAACAAGATATGAAATGTTACAACTGTTATGAAGAACTCGTCTAAAAGTTACCCTGCAAACTTTCAAACTCAAAGCTTACAATAAATCGTGGAGTCTAATCTCATAATATAATAAAGAGTTAAGAAATTCTTTTCTTAAAAGCAGACATTCAGACCGACATACTCCGTTACACCAGTGGTCCAAAAACTGACAGAATTGTGAAACAAACGGACAAAAAAGCAGGGGAAAAATTATCAAATGAAGCAAAACAACAGCCCATGAGAGTTGCAACTGTGTGACTTGCAGTAGGCCCAAGTTGATCGCGTGCACATTTTATGCCTTGTGGGCAGGGGAAAGAGGGAGGGAGGGAGGGAGGTGGGGGAAAGCTGGATGCACTTTATTGTTGATGCATATTTTCCTATCAGTGAAAGAACAGTATCTTGGTCTGGCACCATATTGTTGCATTGTCTCCCCATGGAGTGGCAACACTTGTCAAGGGAATAAATGACTGAAAGGAAAGTAGGCACAGGCTGAGGGTGCTTGATCTACCGCAGATCTATCATGTACGTTCCTTTTCCCAACTGTGGTCACTATTGCATGCTGAAGAGCATATGCGCTATTTTATACAAATGCAGTTGCTATTTATATTAATAATTACTCATGCATCTCAAACAATGTCTAGTCAACCTCCGTGACGCTAAGATGCTAGAAAAAGAGTAAGATGAGGGGGGAAAAAATATCACTGAAAAAGAAAGGAGCATCGCCAGTGGATGTAATAAAAACAATCATTTGTTAATCATTAGTAGCAGTCATCATCATCATCGTCGTCATCAAGTGCCAGATCAGCGGCAGACATCAGCGACCATGGTTCTCCATTCATTCTTCTGCTCGGATGCTCATAATCAAAAAAGCTACATTACCCTGATCTTTCCCCGTTACCCATCTGTTTAGGTTCTCTACTAAGTAGGTTGCTCTGGGCCTTCCCCTGCCTCGTTTGCCTTCAATTTTTCCAGCGAGAGCTAGATGTTCAAAACCTTTATGTCTATTCAGGTGTCCCAAAAACTACACTTGTCTATTCCTGATTGTTTTTAACAGTGAGCGTCCCATGTGGGCTTCATCAAGTACTACCTCATTTGATTTCTTTTCCTTCCACGATATTCTCAGCAGTCTCATAAGAAACCACATTTCTATTACTTCTATTTTATTTTCATTGTCTTCAGTGATTGTCTAGCATTCACAGCAATATTTATAGATAGAACGGTTGACCATACATAGCATTTCAGAACTTTCATTTAGGTAGGTGTTGAGATGTTTCTATTTTTCAGGATTGGGCTTATTTTACTGAAACCAGCCTTGGCCATTGCAATTCTGTTTTATTTCTGTGGAACATTTAGCATCAGATATTATTATAGGCTGTTCTAAAGATTACAAATAGGATTTGCTGCTTTTTTAGATATTACCGTGCATTCTGTTTTCTTTACATTCACTTTCTGTTACAACAGTATTTGGAACTGATTAAAGGTCCTTTTCTTTTAGTTACAAGTCACAGTGCATATGTGCTCACTTGATCCCTGTCTGTAATACAATTCAGTTATAACAGGGATATCAAGTCGGACCCAGTGTTCCTGCACGACCAACAATGAACACACAGAATGTGTACAACTGACAAATGGAGGGATACTGGCATCTCTTCTTTGGGGTTGGTTTTTTTTTTTTTTGGGGGGGGGGGTTCCTGCACCATGTTAAGTCCACAGAAAGGAGGGCAGGGGTTTTGCCCTTAACTAATGAGCTAAAAATAGCGGCACTGACGGTCAGACCATGACAACAACTCACCTTTCCTCTCCGGCGTATCTTCGCTTTGCGAAACTTCTCTCTGTGTTTGACACGAGGGTTGTTGGGAGCTGTCTTCTTTTTAGCTTTGTTCTTCTCGATCTGAAAAAGAAAAAAACCCAAAAAAACATTGAACTAATTAATCTGGGACAAGGGAAATGCTTTGCTCTTCTGTTCGGCAAAATTCATAATAATTTGACAAAATAACGGGTTGAAATGAGCAACTCGACTATTTGATGGTAGGTCTTTTTACAATGTTGCAAAACAACATTTTCAAAAGAAACTGTGGAACACATCTTTCAGAAGCGCAGGACACACAGAGCCATGAGACAGGAAACATGGCCAACTCAAATGATGCTGCAGGAGAAGCTGTACCGGCCGATAGAATATCTGAGCAGGAAGGTCAAGTATATGATAGACACCTGACTTCAAGTGTGATGCAATCAAGAAGAAGAAGAAGAACACTATTAGGTTAAATCATATACATTTTTTGTCCCCTCAAATAAGACGTGAAAAACCTTTGCTTCTGTTGTGTAACGAAGAATGATACAAAAGGTGCTGTGATGTACTATAAATACAAAGAACAAGTCTATGTTAGCAGATGACCCCAAGCCTTTGGTTTGTATAGGCTGCAAAGTTTAATATCAAAGTCAAAGTCATATCTATTCTAATGACACCACAGAATATAAATGCAGTTTCTTAATCTATTGCCTCGCTCTCATAACAATATGACCTTATGCAGTTGCGAGTGCCATAAAACGCTAACCGTAATTTTTTTTTTAAATCTGTCATCTTTTCAATTTTGAAATTTCTGCTTGCTTTGCCTGTATTAACATCGTCATTGTTTTGTTTGGGGTTTATTTCATGGATGGAGACAAAATGTTAGAGTATGCAATAAAGTAATTGGTGTGGCTAAAAATAGGAGGAAGAATCCAGATTTTTTTCTCTAATCCTCAGTCTGACTTTGATGGGCATGAAGATTTTGTTTTCACGTGAGACTTGAGTGGAGCCACTTGACCACTAGACCGATCATTTGAACTTTGTTGATATCAGATCTATTTCGTCAGCTGATATCAGCACGGTATAAAAAATGTATTACATTTATTCTGGTGGTAAACCTGTGAAACTGCCTGTTGTAATCACTCATTGAAATGTGATTATAACTTGGCAATTTCACTCGTAGGATAAATCATGATCTACCACCATAACTCATGTAAAGATTCTTTATATAATCTATATATCAGTTGTATGGCGCATATCACCACTCAACAGCAAGTTCTATGCGCTTTACTATCTGCAGTATTACCCCAGTAGACCCTTGAACACTCAGAAACATTCTCAGCTTCCCAGGAAGCATATAGTGCAAGCAGCCGATAAAAAGCTCAAACAACCTGACAAGACCTTTCATTGTCTATAGCAAGGTATCTATTTCAACTTGGGTAAAGTGAGGCAAAAACTCCTGAAGGCCTAAATTGCCTTTTCCAATGACGCAAAGTCTGGCACCTGACGGGGTTCAAACCGAGGAACTTTTGGTCAACTGCTAAACCACTAGCTTATAGATGCCACAATCATTACTTCTTTGTAATGCTATACAGCGGAACTCGGTTTTAAAGAACTCAGATTCGACGGAAACTCGGTTTCAACGAAAGGAGTTGGATTCCCCAGGTTTTTTTTAATTCCTAAAAATCAATAAAAATAACTTGGATTCAATGAAGTCGCTTGCCGGGTGAACTGCATTATTGTGACAAACCAGTGGCCTCCTTTTATACCAACACACATGTTGTTAGGAGGCGCATATGTCTTAGCGAGTGTTGGGGTCAGACGGGTGGCGAGCACACGTGTGTGCGTGTGTTTGGTTTTTTAAATTCTTTTGGGGGGGGGGGGGGGGGGGAGACAAGCGCTCCCGGCGTGGAACGTCAGTAGAGATATAAACGCGTAATTTTTTTTCCCCAGCTACTCATCAATATATTATAATATAAACTAATCTTGACATCGATCTACTTAATGAATTGCGTGCTGGACTGTTGAATCAAACGTTGCCGTATGCTAGGCTCTACACAGCAACATAATCTGTCCTGTAAACAGTAAGTTAAAAGTCAGAGATGATAGATGACACAGAGATGACACAGAGATGACACAGAGATGACACAGAGATGACACAGAGATGACACAGGCGTGCATTGGAACGAATCTGCCCTTTTGCACAATGTGTGGTTGGTAAAGTTTCGTGCATTTTCCTGGAATTTTCCATCATTTCTTCAGTATCAAAGAAACTAAAGCACTTCTCACTTGAAACCAAACAACTTTTCATACAGAAAGTTGAATACATTATACATTATTTGCTCGATGCATGCAATTATCTACACAAAAATCTCATATTTACTATAACGAACACTTGAATTCAATAAAAATTGAAGGCCAGGCCCGACGACTTCATTGAATCCGAGTTACATTGTGTAATACATACAGTCAAACCTGCCTCTAAGGCCACATGTGCAAACAGACACTCTCCATATCCCTTGCATTTTTTTCCCCAATATAATGGCACTATGTAAAACGATAACCTGTCCAATGCGGCAGTAGCCATGGCATTTTATAAACCAACAACCCAAAAACCATGTCGTAGATGACCATGCAAATCTCTCCTCGCCCGATGCATTGCTTTATTACCTACCAGCCTGTGGACGAGCCGTCATAATCCATTCACTGTTGTTACTGTTGGCCTGAACCAATCATTAACCAGAACATTGCAAAGACAAGAGTCCTACTGTTTAACCAAACTGACCACCGGGTAACATTAACGGGCTTTACAATAGTCCTAAGCCTGCAACCGCCTCCGGTTGGGATCTCAAGAGGGAATATTTTGCTTTCTTCATTTTGATCAGTCCTGCCTAAGATAGCCATTTCTCTCGAAAAGCAAGACAGGTATATTAGGCCAACAAATGTATATGTTGTATATTTATGATATCACTAACTCCATGCCCAAAATTTGACGAGTGCCCGACTCCACTGAGTCGTGCCACACATTATCAAACACGCACACACCTCAACCTAATCCTGTGATTCATCATATTATCAAACACATGCACACACCTCAACCTAATCCTGTGATTCATCATATTATCAAACACGCACAAACACATACACCATACCTCATATGTCACGGGACGGTTCTGTAGCTCTGCAGTCTCATCTTCCTCCATGATGTCATCATCTCTCTCCTCCTCACTATCCCCAGAGTCAGCATCCACCCTCACCCTGGAACTGACAATCAAATACACACACACACATATATCTTCTTGAAAATCAAATACACACACACATATATATCTTCTTGAAAATCAAATACACACACATACATATTTTCTCAAATATATAATATATATATATATATATATATCATATTTGAGAAAGTTCGTAACTTCGGGCGCCTAAAACTTCCGAACCACTTAATTTTTTAATTTGAAGCTCTTGTTTTACCATTAAATACTCAAGAGAAAGGACAAGGTACTCTTGTGTTTGTTCATGAATTATGTTGTGTCTGTGGCAGCCTGCATACAACCCAAAAAACAAAAAACAGCAACACAAAACATGGGTAGATATGGACTTCTTCAATAGGAAAAAAAAACAATGACAGCTAACACATTCATTCTCAGTTTTTGTGTCGGAAATATGCGCTGACACTTATGAATGAAATCAGAACGTTGTCAGTTATTGCAAATGGTCATAGAAACGAAAATAAAATCTGGAAAAGTCTGGTGCTGATTCAGTGTCACTGGAAAGCTGGAAATTATTCTGAAATCCCAGTTACGAGAAGTTATCCCTGTTGTTCAGTCAACTTACAAAACCTAGACTTAGCGTTTTAAGAAAAGTTATGAATTTCTGGAGCCTAACACTGTTCATGTATTGCGCTGTATATATAGGTATTCTGGCATTAAAATCGATTTGTACTTCTTTATAGAGAGAATACAGGGTAATTTCAATAAACTTTCGAGAAAAAAGTGAATATTCAAGATTGTATTAGACACATATAGTTGAAAAGGGAGGAACTACTTCTTAGTGAATTGTGTGCCAGATGGATAAAGTTTAAAAAATTAGCTTTCTATTATTTGTCTGCGCAGATACGATCTTTTTTTGAGTATCTCCATCAATGTTATGTCGTTCATGTTCCAAAGGTTCGACAGTTTTTGTTGAGCCACTTATTTTATATAAATTATTTTTCACTCACACTTGTCCAAAATTTTTTACAATTCAGCACGTCTAACGAAATAACCGGACAAGTTACAATGTCCATTCTTTTTTGAGTCTCAAGAGCAGAAATGCGTGCCCTGGGTGCATTAAATGATTATTACCATTAATACAAGGATACACCTAAACTTTAGGTTGAAGAGTACAAAAAAATGAAGTCAGCCCAGCCAGAGCGGCGACAGAGGGATGACCCCCAGGAACCCGGCGTGATAAGGCGCTTGGCGGGGAACCCCCAGCCGCAACTAAAATTCCCCTGCTGGTGCGCCACGCACAGTTTACATTCTTTAGGAGTTGTACTGCTAAAATCCTGTCAGTAGGATCACAAAGCACTCTGCACTGAGTCATTTGTAAAAGGCTCTGGACAACCAATATCTCTAAACCCAGCCCAGGCTTCCTACCCCCCCCCCCCCCCACCCCTGATATTGGAAGAATGAAACTCCTGCCACTGCCATAACAAGTTAAAAGCACCAGGAACAACAGTTTCTGAACCCAGCCCTCCATTTCAAAAGCTGACCTTTGCACTGCGCTTTTTAAAAAAAGCACTGCAAATAACAAGTCACCACAGACAAGCTGACCACCACTCTAGCACTACCGGCCTGTGCTGGCAGTTGCTACCACCAACTGATCCCCCACACAGCATGCCCTCAGGGACGTCATGCATCACGGGAAAGGGTCAGTCAACCTGATTTTGCGCAGGGAGGGGGGGGGGGGGGGGACCACTCACCTGTGTGGATCTCCAGTGGCTGTCACGCCGCGGGTGTCTTCGGCATCTCCTGGGCCCTCCTCCTCACTGTCCACCAACCAGTCTGGGGGGAAACTCTCGTACACCTTGGCCAGCTGGATAGTTTAGTTTTAATAAGTGTTTTTACGGCACTGGCAACACAATAAGGTCATATAATAAGTGCTGAAGATTAGGTGTTACAAAAGAGTAACAAACACAAAAAAAGGAGGGGAGATAAAGACGGTAGATGTTTGATAGGAAAGAAGATGCAAATCACACCAGAGCACCCGCCAACCACCCACTCAGCTGTACAGGACAAAGAAGAAAACACAGAATTGTACTACAACAGCCCAGCATAGTTTCCATACACAACTCTGACATACAGCCGAATGCACACATGCATACTCCTCTACACTCACATACGCATTGTCACTGCCGCCAGATAAATGAGCTGCTCGTTTTGTTTGAGTAAGCGCTTTACGGCCCTTGCAACACAATTAGGTCATTTAAGTGCTGAAGATTAGAGGTGTTACAAGAGAGTAACAAACATAAAAAAGAAGAAGGAGAGATAAAGATGATAATTGTTTGAAAGGGAAGGAGTAAACAATACCAGGGCACCCACAAACCACCTAGTTAGTAATTCTAGAGATGGTCTAACCCAGATTTCGGGGGTTTCCAGAAATCTTTACCTACACCAAAAATGGGCATTGCCCTACCTAAAGGAGAAGTTTGGTTGAAGAGAAAAGTCTTGTCTTTTAAAGAAACTGGACAAGGGCGCAAAAACTTTGCCTTCGATTTTCTCAAAACAGCACATTTTTCGGGGTAGCCAAATTGTGTGCTTAAAAGCGACAAAATGTTTTTCTCACCCTGTAAAGCAGAAAATGAAGAGAAGATTACAATATTAATATCAATTTTGCAGTCCCCTTAAAAAATTACATGATTACATTTTTCATTTGTTTTCGAGTCAAATTTTGCTCATTTATATTAATGCAAAGCTATAAAATCCTGTTCGATGCATGCCTTACGACCCCCATGATTGCCAATATAATAAACCATTTCGGTTATGTCCCTACCCTACAATTAAGATAAGATAAGATAAGATACATCTTTATTGTCCAGATCCTGGCACATTGGTTTGGTGTTCCACCACGAGTACACACACACGCGCACACACACGTACACACACAAGTGGGCTTACAATCACATGCATAATATAAATGAGCAGCAATATAAGCAATAATAATCGTAAGCTAGATACACACTCAATGTTATTTTGATGCATGCTCTAAGGTCGTAAGTACACTAAACAAGATGGTTAAGATGGAAGCATTTTGATAGATGATGGTAAAAAAGACCTTCTGTATCTTTCTTTGTTACACATCAGAAGCATGGGCCTTTTACTTCTGACTGATGTTTTTATTTGAGGGAACAAGGGATGTTTGTTGTCTAAAAAGATGGAATTAATTTTCTTAGTGCAAGCTGTTATGTACAATCATCCAAGTAGGGGAATGAAGATGTTGAAATTTTACATGCTTTCCGTATTAGTCGATTTAATTTTTCTTTATCTTGTTGTCTTGTGTTCCCGGCCCATGCTGTTATACAAAAATTGATCATACTTTCTATGGTTGAATGGTAGAACATGGACATCAATGTTTTATCAACTTTAAAATACTTTAGCTTTCTTAGAAAAAATAGTCTTTTGTTCACTTTTTTATGCAGGAGAGAAGTGTGGACACGCCAGTTGAGTTTGATGTCTATTGTAACACCCAAATACTTATAGTCTGACACTTGCTCGATGTTTTCACATTTCATTTTGAGTGGCTGCAGGGGCAGTTTCTTTATTCTAAAATCAACGACAAGTTCTTTTGTTTTTTTCACATTTAAAAGCAGCTTATGATTTTCACACCATTCAGAAAAATTAAGTACAAAATTCCGGTAATCGGTTTCATTATGGTCAGCCTGAATTAGCCCAATTATAGTTGAATCATCTGCAAATTTTATCAACTTGATGTCACTGTTGTTTATTTGGCAATCGTTCGATTGTATAGTTTCAGTAGAGGTTTTACGGCACTCACAACTGCATAAGGTCATATGAGTGCAAGAAGATTAGAGGTGTTACAAGAGAGTAACAAACATAAAAAAGAGGAAGGGGGGATAAGGATGATAGATGTTCGATAGGAAAGAAGAAGCAAACCACACCAGAGTACCCGCTAACCACCAAAACAATTACAAAGTTTCATCTGCTCAGTATCTAGTTTTGAGAAATCTGACGTACAAAATTTTGAGTTTCACAAAATGCAATTCTTTGAATATCTTGATAACGACTCCGCACAATCTTACGATTTTGATAAAGCATTTGGTTTCTGACCTCATGGTTTTAGTAACTCAAAATGGCCCAAAATGTCAAATAGAATACTGTAATTCTAAGTTAGTGATGTGCAGTGTACAGAAGGCCTGCATCTTGGCTTACACAGTTCGACAAAAAGGGTTCCGGGGCTGTAGGGTAAGGATCAAGTGTTGGGTGCTGTTAAAAAACCACACTAATGATTATGGCCATTTTGTGTTACCGTACGGAAAAAAATAAGACAGATAGAAACAAAACAGGGAAATAAAAAAAAGTAGGACCCTGTCCGCTAGAAGCCTTCCACACTGAACCAGCAAGGACCAGGGTCCATACTGAGCAGGAGATTTTATTTCCCAAGACTTTCCCGAGAGTTTTCAAGACCAGATTTCATTTTTCAAATACAGAGAACATGTCAATTTGGAAGAAAATTTTTCGTTCAGCAAGCAAAAAAAGTCATATGGTGGACTTCAGATTGCGTAAAGTTGAGGCCTTCTAAACTTCGAGGGAATATTAGATCTTGTTAAAAAATTGTTTTTCAAAGACTTTTCCAAGAATTTTGCCAACTTCCCAAAATTCCAAGAGTTTTACAGTTTTCTGAGACCCATAGGAACCCTGAAGGACTCACTTTCGCCAACTGCCTACAACTTACCTTTTTCCACTGCAAAAGTCGCGGGAGCACCGGATGGCCACGCGTGTCTTGCCCTGTCTCCAGTAAATGAAGGTAGAAGGCTATGTGGGCTCCGAGCCTGTGGGAGATACAGTAGATCTGCTGTCTTATGACAGAACAACATATGCCAAAAATGAAATTTTATAAGAGAAGAATAAAAACTAACTTTTTGGGTGTGTTTGGTCGATATAATTATTTTATATCAACACTCATTGGCCAGTGTAACTTTTGTTAGATTTGCTGAGGCATACAGTAAATTGTTATGGAGTAATAATTGATCAAAATTTCTCTTCTGACAACAATATTGATATATCTAATTAGGTCACAATGCATATCTTCAAAAGCCCAAAACTTCCTTAATTTTAATTTCACAACAATAAAACCAAGATAGAAAGATGCGTCATGAAAGGGGGTTTCTCAACTTGACCTAATTATGCAAAAACAATTTTTTTTTGTCATAAGCCGGCAGAGATGCTTGATTTGTTTTAGTTTTATGGTATTGGTAAGTGTTTTAAAGGAAAAATCTAGGAGGACCCATGGATAAGTTACGCACTTTAAAGATCCCTTGGGGGTCCAAAATCGATAAATTAGGCTTCGGCCGTCACCCACGCAGAATTCAAAATTTCCTACCAATTGAAAATGTCTGGTGTGTCCCGCACGCTCATATGACCTTATACAGCTGCAAGCGCCGTAAAACACTTACCAAAAAAAAATTTATTAAAAATCCACACTCCAGACATCACCAACAAAAACCTATTCCATATACCAAAAATTAAACGGATACATTTTTAGTATTACATCTTCTCTTCATTTTGAGGAAATTTCATGATGACTCGATGAAAAATGGTGGAGTTATTCAAAAAAGTATATATACAAAAACCGCGTTTTGAGAAAACGGTCGATAAAGAAAAATAGTATAGTTTTAGTAAGAGTTTTACGGCACTTGCAACACAATAAGGTCACATAAGTGCTGAAGATTAAAAGTGTTACATGAGAGTAACAAACACAAAAAAAGAAAGAGGGGAGTTCAGGACAATAGACGTTTGGTAGGAAAGAAGGAGCAAACCACACCAGAGCACCCGCCAACCACCCACGAAAGAAAAATAAAAGATTTGACTTTATGAGGAAATGGGGGTGGCAAACATGCCCGGTATGGGAAGAAATAAGGCTTTAGGGGGTTCTAATGCGATGAAATAGTTGTAAGAGGGTCTAAAGAAGCTAAAAATGTCTACAACTCAAAATCCATAAATTGGAGCCGAATCGGGACTTTTGGGGTGTAGCCCCCC